CGAATCGTACGGTGTCGAATAATTTGGTGTCGAATAAATCTGTGTCGAATCGAGCGGTGTCGAATCGTACTGTGGTCAAACGGAACCCGCCCCACCTATGTTTGCGGTTTCTTCAAGCGGTGGATAAGCAATATTCATTTAAATAGTACGCTATCTGACTTCATTACATATTCGACATGTCACTGACGTTCACACTTACCGGCAAAAGGCACACCCTTGCAGTCAGCTACTTTCCCGCCATTGATTTAAGTGACGGTGATTACGAGCTTGGACTAACAGATTTTGAAACGTATCATANGATACCGAATGTGAATTCGTCGAACAAGAAGTATTATTACGATACAGATGACAAGCAGATTATAATTTCTGAAGGATCGTACGAATTTCGGGATATTAACAATTATCTGCAACATGCAATGATGCAACGTAATATAAGAAGCAAAGATAAGGATGAGAATATCCCTCTACTAATATTACGCGCAAACATTAATACAATGAAAAGTGAAATAAACTGCGCCTTTCAAACAAATTTTACCAAACCCGACAACATTGGATCGTTGTTAAGTTTTTCATCAACTCGTATTTTAGAGCCGCTACAATGGTACGTATCAGACGTGCCGATTAATATTATCAACGTAAACATTATTCGCATACAGTGCAACGTGACTTCGGGTGCGTACAGCAACAACCGGTGTGTGCATACAATACATGAGTTCTCACCAAACGTACCACCAGGATATAAGATCTCGGAAACACCGGCACAAATCATTTATCTTCCGATCATTGTACAGAGCATTACGGATCTGACGATACGCATTGTGGATCAGAACGGAAAATTGCTTGATTTTTGAGGAGAAGAAATAACCGTCAGGTTACACGTGCGACGACGACGGCTGTAATACGCGGCATGCTCGTGCTGAACGAGGCGGATCAAGTAACGCGAGATACAAGGTTTTCATTACAAACACCTGCTACTACTACTACTACAACGTACAGTATTTGGAAGAAGCTAAGTTCGACAAACGTTGAATTTTTACAATCGTTGGAATTTAGTGTACGAGAATTTTGATACTATGTTCGACATTTTAAACGTTGGAGGTGAGCCGATCTTTGACGATCGCATCGTCAAGATTGAAACTCACACATACAATCCGTACATGAACACAACATTTTATCACAGTGATGAGATACGCATACCTATACAACAGCAGGACTGGTACACTTTACCGTGTCAAAGTTTTCTTTACGTCGAAGGAAAAATGACGTTAACGACGAAAAACGAAGAAGAAGTATTTCTGGGTAATAATTGTGTGGCTTTTATGTTCGATGAGATTTGCTATGAACTTAATGGTATGGAGATTGATCGTAATAGAAACGTTTGAATAATACCTAGCACAATCAAAAACTATGTATCGCTAACACATGATAAAAGCATGGCCATGAAGAATGCTGGATGGGATATTACACAACATACGGACGTAAATAGTTACTTTAGTTTCTGCGTACCTCTCAACATGATATTACAATTTTGCGAGGACTACAAGCGTACGATTATCACTGCACATCATGAACTAATTTTAATACAATCGCGCAACGACAAAAACTGCATAACAGCAGTTTCTGAGGTAGATGGTGAAGCAGTAGACGGAAAAAATGAATTATTTAAAATACAATGGCGAATGCCACATGTAGTATTGAACGATGTCACGAAGCTCTCGCTGCTACGAACTTTGGAAAGCGGACGGAATTTGACCATGAGTTTCCGCTCGTGGGATCTCTATGAGTTTCCATTATTATAAAGCACGACTAAACACTCGTGGGCCGTAAAAACGGCGACACAACTTGAAAAACCGAGATACGTCATATTTGCGTTACAGACTGCTCGAAGAAACGATATTCAGCAGATGTCACGCGATTCGATCAGTCAGTTGACCAACGTAAAACCTTATCATAATTCTGAATTCTATCCTTATGACGACTTGCATTTAGATTTTGATAAAAAAAAATATGCCGTTCTGTACCATATATACACACATTTCCGTAAAGCGTATTACGGATGTGGTGTTGTCGTACCGTTTCTCACAATTTCCAACTTTCTGCAATNTGGTCCTTTAGTGGTCATTGATTGTTAGCGTCAAAACGAGGCGGTCAAAAGTGCAACCGTCGATGTGCGAAATGACTTTGATTGCAAAGAAAATATACCAACAAATACTACAGCCTATTGTCTCATTTTGTACAATCGTGTTATTGAATACAATCCGTTAACCAACGTAGTGCGCAAAATTACAACATCAGCGCTTCTCCCCTTTATAATCTGAAAATCGTTTAAGAGCGACAGTATTTTACGATAGATAGCATTTGTCTTTTGTTGGTCACATGATTACGTCAATATGGTTGTGCCGATGTTTGTAGACCTGCAAAGATTTGGGGCGGGTTCCGTTTGACCACAGTACGATTCGACACCGCTCGATTCGACACAGATTTATTCGACACCGTACGATTCGACACGAAATTATTC